CAAGGCAGAGAAAAAGCTGTTATCACTCCTTATCTGCCACTAAAAAGATGGAATTCCAGCAGTTTCAAGTGAGATCACAGAAAGCAAAACAAAGTTTTGGTTTAAAACTCAAACAGAAAAAAACCCCCTACCTTAAAGAATGACCTCCCAGCAATAAAAATGAGTAAAAAACACCCCTGAAATTTGATTTAAATGCTGCAACGACTCACCAATGTACCAGAGTGGAAAGCAGGTGATGTTGTAATATGTGCTCAGGAGTTTCCCAGTCCTGAAAAGCAAAACAAGAAGGGAGAATTTAGCAGAAATTCCATCTTGGGGAATATTTAGGTCTCCACGTGGTAGAATATTTGCTGGTTTGAATCAGATGGGACAATTAACTCACATTTCAGTGTAGATCATGCCTGCTACGGATAAATTGAGGAATCCCCAGGCCAGCACCACCTTCCTGGTCTCAGCCTGTTTCCTCATCTTCACAGCCAGGTCGATGAGGGAAGTGTCTGGACTCTTATTTGGCGTCATTGTCTGTAAGAACACAGGAAAAAGGCAAAATCTGTGAATTTTTACACAGCAGAAAGATCCTCAGCCAGTTTATGGAGGAACAGTGTCCATCTTCTCCCTCGTTTTTGAACAATAATATCCTTCAAAAGGAGGAGGGAAAGCTCCTGCCTCCTCCAGGCAAGACCAGTGTTTTTACCGGAAATTCTCACTTATTTCAGTAGGTAACAGAGTGTTTTCTGTCATATGAAACCTACAGATTTTATTTCCTCCTTTATGCCTATTAACACCTTATGCGAAGGAAATAACTCTGACACAGGCAGGCGACCCCCACATCTCCCCCCAAATCTCGATCCCTCCTCCATCCTCAAACTTCACCTTTCCTCCACCCCAAAGCTCTAGTCTTCCTCACCACAAACCTCTTCGATCCTCACCACAAACTTCTCTGATCCCCTTCCCCAAATTTAACCTCTCCCGCTTCTCAAACTTCCCCGCCCCAACCCTCTGCTTCTCCCACTCCTTAATCCTCAATTCTCCCCCTCCTCACATTTCATCTCTCCTGACCTCACCGTCCTCCTCCTCAAACCTCTCCGCTCGCCCTCCCCGAATCTCCCTTCTCCCCACCCAACCTCCCTCTCCAAATTTCACCGCTCCACCTCCCCAAACCTCACCGTCCTCTTCCCAGACCTCCGCTCTTCCCCCTCCCCAGATTTTACCTCACCTCTGCCCAGATCTGTCCCGCTGGCCCCTCAGGCCGGGCACTTTTCTCCCCTTTTCCCGCCGGGGCTCTCGGCTCCCCTCACGCCGCCGCGGCCTCGCGCTTTCTGCGCCTGCGCGGGCGCTCGCGTCGCGTCACCGCCAGCGCCGGGGGCGGGGCAAAGGGGGCGGGCACTCGAGCTCCGCTTTTGGCGGGAAGGGCGTGAGGGAGCCGCCATGTTGGGGGGGGCGAAGGAGCCCTCACGGGGACACGCTTTGCTCTGTTGTTTTTTTGTTTTTGTTTTTTTTAATTGTCTTTATAGCTAAATTGTTTAATTACACACTGCCATGTCAGACCAACACGTTGCCACGGTCAAGTAAAATTTTAAGGGGTTTTACGTCTGTTTGCATGCTATGCAATTGTAGTTTTGTATTTCTGCATAGGTAACTTTGTATTTCTGTGCGAGCACAGCTTCATATTTCAAGTGTTGCTGAAACCGTGGGGATAAATAAGACTTCTAACGTTATCTTTTAAAAAATGTTAGCAAGTCAGCTGTTTATTCCTGGCCAAAGTTCATGTGTGCAGCTGACAAAGTTCAGGTCTCCACATGAGCCCCAATACAAAACTTTTGTATATACATTTTAACAAGCAAATTAATGTTCATTGGTTCTAAATTGCATCATCCTCTTCATTAATTAGTATTGTGTTCCCTATTAATTTCCTCACTTTTTATATTGATGCCATCCAAATTATTTAGTAATTTTGTTATCTTTTTCTCATACATGGAGTCTCCTACGTTTCAGGCCTTAATTTCCTCTAATTTTCTGGTTATTTCAATGTCTTTGAAGGGTCATAAATTTAATATTCCACAAGCCCAGTCCTCAAATTCTTTGGGTCTGTTCATTGAAGTTTGTCAGGGTTAGTTTCAACACACTTAATCGATGATTTAGATAAAGTAATAATAAAGGTCTGTGTAGAAGTGCTGGTTAAAAGTGGGCGCTACTCACAGATTATTAAAATAACCAATTAAAAATTAGTTAGGAAAGTTACATCATTTCCACACATGCACGACTTCAAATTTTTGTACAGGTTTAAACTTCATATTTCTGCTCTGAAATGCTGTAAATGGAAAGAATTGTGTTTCTGAGGCTAACCCTCCAAATCTGAAGGTCTTGATTTCCTAATTTAAGGAAAATTGAGTTGGAAGCCAGGGTCATTACACTGACATAAAGCTGCAGATTTTCCAGAAACATCAAAAATATGAGTTCTGCTTCTAAAATTAATTCTAAGTGTACAAATGGTAAACCACATACTGAAATCCCTACTCATTCTTTATCCAGGGCATTTCCAGGGTGGATTAAGGACATGGAGGCAATCCATTATTTACAGAAATAATAATTCCCTCATCAGTAATCCAAAATAAATTGGCGTTATGGCCAATTAACGCTGATTATCCAGGAGATGAGTTGCCAGTGGAGCCCTTTGCCATGGCACTGAAATATTTCAATCCAAAGGTGAAAAGTTTCTTGGATTTTTTGCCTAAAATTGACGGGAGAGGCTACAACACTGGATCTTGGTTTGAGTCATTTGAGGCACCAACAACAAAGGGTCTGGATTTTACAAAAATTGACGGACTCCACTGGAATTTAAGGATTTTTGGGGTTTTTCCAGTTATTGGTGGGGGTTTGTGGGGGTCTCAGCACACTGAAAATTGTTATCAACGCATCGATTTCAGGCACAGAGTTGGTTTGTTTGGCTAAGGTTGATTTAACCTTGCGCTGCCTCGGGTGTCACCGGGGTGCTCCTGACTCACGGGGTGACTCCAAACCTCGGCAGGGCTGCGTGGAGAGCACGTCCCACCCCGCAGGAGATCCCTGCCCTGCCTCACCCACACACCCTCCAGCCACCCCGGGCTGTGGCAGCTCTGCTGCAGCTCAGCCCAGTTGGTTTGGGGTTGGTTTGAGCTGCTTCAGGGGGGACTTGGTGACGTCCTGGGAGCTGTCCGAGGACCTGGACCTGCTCAGTGCCACCAGACCTGCTCTGCTGCTCTTGGCTGGATCCGTGGGGCTCTGCTGCTTGTGGTGAGCTCCCTTCTCCACCTGCCTTGCTGTGTCACCTTTGCCTTCCTGCCGCTCCCCTTCTGGACCCTGCCATCAACCCTGCCATCAACCCTGCTGATGTTTTCAGCCTCTCAAAATGGTTTGGGTGGGAAGGGACCTCAAAGCCCACCCAGTTCCACAGTCCCGGGCTGCTCCAAATCCCAGTGTCCAGCCTGGCCTTGGACATTCCAGACATCCAGGGGCAGCCACAGCTGCTCTGGGAATTCCTTCCCCAGATCCCATCCATCCCTGCCCTCTGCCAGTGGGAAGCCATTCCCTGTGTCCTGTCCCTCCAGGCCTTGTCCCCAGTCCCTCTCCAGCTCTCCTGGAGCCCCTTTAGGCTCTGGAATGTGCTGGAAGCTCTCCCTGGAGCCTTCCCTTCTCCAGGAGAACGTTCCCAGCTCTCCCAGCCTGGCTCCAGAGCAGAGGGGCTCCAGCCCTGGAGCTCCTCTGGATTCACTCCAATCTCATGGATGCTCAGGGTTTATCTTCAGACCCTTTAGGACCTCCTGGCTCCAGCAGGAGGTCACTGCTGGGGGCCCTGCAGCCCTTCCAGGGGATGAGAGGTTTGGATTCAGATGCAGCTCCTGAAATGCAGTGGGTGGAGGCCCCAGGGGATGCCGATCAGGGCACTCAGAGCTTGTTGGGACATTTCGGATCCTGACATCAGGTTTGGCAGGGTTTCCTGGCAGCCCTTAAATCCATGTGGGATGTAGAATGAGTAATGGAAGAAGCTCTAATTTTGCCCTAGATTAAATCCCTCTTTCCTGTTTTCAAAGAGTGACCCGTGGCAGGTGGTGTGGACAGAGAGCTGATTCCTTATGAAATATTGGAGCCTGGAAGCTACAGGTGGGATTTGACTTCCACCAGAGTTGCTGTAGCTCCAGGAGCAGGAAATTCCTGCGGTGGTTCCTGTCTCTTGGGATAAATTTTTGTTATTTGGTTTAAGTTGAGGGAGTGGAGATCTTTTTCCCCCAGGCACTGGGTTTGGTTAAACCTTAGAGATCAGAGCAGTTCTCCTGGTGCCCCCAAGACACAGCAGTTAGAAGATGACTCAATCCTACATCCCAAAACAGGAATAATCCCTGCCCGGGGCTGCCTTTGCTCCCAAAAACATGAGACAAAGGGTTTGCTTGGAGCTGTGACCATAACAGGACACCTGTGGAGGAGCAGGGAGGGAGTGGAGGTGAGAGGAGGCTCCTCAGGGAGGAGTGAGTGATACAAACCGAGATCTTTATTAAAATTTCCTCTGGGAATTGTCAGGGAATTCCTTTCCTCCTTCTCCTGAGTTGGATTGAGCAGCTGAACATCTCCCCTCTGTCCCTTCTCCCCAGAAACCCCAGGTGTGACAGCAGGGTCAGCTCCTGCCTGTCCCTCAAAAACCTCTTTATTTGGATAAACAACAACTTTATCCAGCAGCCCTGTGGGACAGCCACAGCTGGAGATTATTCCCAAAGCTCAGGCAGGAATCTGCCCCCCCAGAACTACTCAAACACCCTTTGGAACAAGGAATGAACACAAGGAAGGAGCTGGCAGAGCTCGGTGGGATCTGGGATGAGTTCAGGACGTTTTCCTCTGTCCTGAAAAACTTGCGGAAGGACACGCACATTTTTGTGGTCGGAGCTTTGGGACCGACTCCTCCCCCGCTGCTTTGGATGTGTCAGTGGAAAATATTTTTTGTTTTTTTGGCGGTGAAATCGGCCCGGTGATTACCTTGAAGGCTCTGATAAATGTGAGAACTTGATCACATGGAGTGATAGGTTTTATCAGATGCGTTCCATCTGAAAAATAAAGCTCTGTATAAATTCCCCTTTGCCAGGCCCAGCTGAACTTGCAGCAAACATGAAGCTGATTTTGATCTTCGGTGCCCTCATCGGGGTTTCCCTGTGCCTGGAAACCTTCGTTGGGTGAGTTACGCTTTTGTGGAAAACATTTCATTTAGGGCTGGTTCTTGTTGATTTTTGTGCTCTCAACTCGACAAAATCTGCTTGGGGGAACATTTTTTTTGTTTTGTTTTTGTGATTGTTCTTGTTGCTTTGGTGTTTGAGGGAACATTTCTTTATTTTTATTTGGGTTGTAGAGTTGAGATCCTCAATTCCTGTTCGTCCAAGGTTTGATTTTGGCTTGAGCTGAACCTCACTGCACACCAGAACCTGTCCTCAGATCAGAAAGTTCACCATTTCCCCTTTTTTTACCCCAAAGTTTCTTATTTCTCCTTCAGCCTTTCAAATCCTGATTTCCAACCATTAAATTCTAAAAGTTTGTCTTTGTGTCCCATTGCAAAAATTATCCCATGGGATATTTTCTCACAGCCTCACTGACCATGGAAGAGCCTTAATAATTAAAGATTATAAAATCTTTAATTAAAAATAATTAAAGATTATAACATGCAATAAATCCTGAGGTGCACTAAGTGAACACTAGATTCCAGTGAGTAAATCTGTGTATGAAGGTTTAAGGATAATAAAAAATAATATAAAGAATGTCCCAAAAGCCAGGAGGGGATAATTTGATCATTTCATCCTGAAGTGAATTCTTGTGAATCCATTTCTCAGCAGTTGTGGTTAATTCTCAGCAAAATCCAACCCTGAGATAAAGTTTATGGCAATGGAGAATCCAATAATAAATTACTAATGTGGAAAAATTTAAGGTTCAAAGAGATCTTCCCCCTCTGCTGGCCAGGGAGAGGAAACTGGTGTAAACGTGGTGTAAACGTGGTGTAAACGTGGTGTAAACGAGTCCATCTTCAGCAGCTGTAAATAAACACCCATGTCCACCCTTTTAACCTCATTTCCATCTTAAAAATGTTTCCAATTGTGCAGTTTGTGCTCCCAGCTGGTGAGTCGATCACTCCAGCCCGTGGAATGAGGCACTTCCAGAGGTTCATTCATCCCACCTGGAATGGTGGTGAAACAAATCCCAAATTTAGTGTTTGCTCCCCAAATATTCGATCCTTCCCCAACTCAACCGGAATATTATTTTCCCACCAGCTGCTGCCAGACAGGGTTGATCCTTTTGATTTAAAACTCATCCAAGTTGTCCTGGGTGACACCGAATCGACTGATTTAACACACAATTGACAATTTAACACACAATTAACGCTGAATTAACGGCGCCAAACCGGATCACCCAGCCCTTTTCTGCTGATTTATTGCAGGCACCAAGTTCTCCGAATCAAGACCAGAAATGAGGAGGAAATCAAACAACTGCAGCTTTTGGAATCGCTGGAACATCTGAAGGTGGGTGACGGCCACAGAGGAGTTTTGGGACATTTCACATGGAGGATTCACATCTCCCAACAGCTCAGGGTGTGAATCTCCACCTCATTTGGAAGGTTCCAATCACCCTGGAGCAGCTGGCATAAATAAATTTATTCTCTGGACACTTCGAATTTGATCTGCAAGTTCAAGTACCAGTTCAGGAGGGCAAGAATTGATTTTATTTTTTATTTTTTATTTTTTATTTTTTTCCTGCTGGGTTTACATCGTGTTTGAATTGTTAGATCTTAATCTCAGTGTTGAAAAACTTGTTTTTCCAGTGGGAATGGCAATGTTTTGTCTCCCAGAGTTATGGAAGGAATTTATTAGTTGGTCTACACTGCATTGAAACAGGAAAAACACTCTGTAAAATTCCAGGTTAATACTGCTCTTATTGCCATTGGTGAGAATTTTTAAATTTAAAAATTCTTTTTTTAAAATCACTGGCTTAACAATATTATATGGATAATTTAGAAATTAAAATTTCTAAATTTAATTTCGAAATTAAATTCTAAATTTAGAAATTAAAATTATGGATAATTTAAAAATTAATAGAAATTATATATCCATATTTAGAAATATGGATAATTTTAGAAATTAAATTATATTGATAATTTAGACATTAATAATTTAAAATTAAAAATATTATATGGATAATTTAGAAGTTAAAATTTCTAAATTTAATTTCAAAATTAAATTCTAATCTTAGAAATTAAAATTATGGATAGTTTAGAAATGAATAGAAATTAATTATCCATATTTAGAAATACGGATAATTTTAGAAATTAAATTATATTGATAATTTAGACATTGATAATTTAAAATAAAAACTATTATATGGATAATTTAGAATTAAATTAAAACCAGCAATAGTTTAAGACTGGAATATGGAGTTTTTCTTGAAATTGTTTCTAGTAAAAGGGAGAATAATAAAATAATCATCAGAGACAACTAAAATATCCTCTTGTTTTTATGACCAAAGCCTACAAGTCAATGAGAAAACTGACTCCAGTCCTTTGGTATTTATTATTTTATTTAGTTTATCACAAGAACTGATACAAGGCTGTGGTGAAGCCACAGAGCATTCCAGGGCTCCTCCTGCTGATTTGGGAGAAATCAGCATTCCTGAAACTCTGCAAGAGCTGTTTGCACGATTCCTTCCCCAAACCAAATTCATTTGCCTTTTCCTCTCCAGCTGGATTTCTGGATCAATCCCTCTGCTCCCGCCCTCCCCGTGGATGTGAGAATTCCTGCTCTCAGTGTCCAGTCAGTGAAAGCCTTCCTGGAATCCCAGGGGATTGAATATTCCATCCTGATTGAGGACCTGCAGGTGGGCAGAGCCCATTTTTTACATCTTTTGGAAACACCGATTCACAATTTGGCCTCTCTCCCGCTTTTCCATCCTCCGTTTCCCGTGGGATCCCTCCCTTCTTTCTGTAGGTTGTGGATTATTCCTCAAAGACCATCCATGGATCACTGTAGGTGCTCTCTGAGTAGTGACATTGATAAATCCACCCCTGAGGAATTCCAGGTGGACTTTTGGCCCAGGACATTTGGGAGTCCCAACACTGAAGTTCCTCATCGCTCACTGAACCCTGCTGAGAGTAGTGAGGGATAAAAATCACCCACTTGGGCACTAATCTGACATTTCCTCACGAGTAGTAATCCCCAAAGAGCATCTAAACCAGCATCAACTCACTGCTTTTCCATTTATTTATCTTTTAGCAGCTGAAGCAGACACTTCTCACCATTTAAATGTTGTTTTAGGATGTTCTGGATAAGGAAAAGCAAGACATGGCCGAGAGTGCCCAAAGGCAGCGCAGCAGCAGCTTCGACTTTGGTGCTTACCACAGTCTGGATGAGGTGAGAACCTCAGGGGAAGAACATTCCGATTTTTTTCTGGTCTTTTTACATGCTGTCTTCAATTCAGCATCCCATGTTAGGATGTAAAATGTCCTCGCAGTTTTTTTTCTGGCACGTGGGTTTGTTTTTTGCAGTATTAATTCTGATTAACGATCAGCCAGCGCTGATCAAAATTCCATAAACTCTCCTGCAGACTCTGTCAAAACCCATCCTTCAAAAGAAAGAGAAATAAAGGGATCTTGAAATTGGGAAATAAAGAACTTTTTGCCCAGAAAAGCTGTGGCTTCCCCATCCTTGGGAGTGTCCAAGGCCAGGCTGGAGCAACCTGGGATAGTGGAAGGTGTGGAATGGGATGGGATTTCCAACCTGAATCAGCCCACGGTTCTCTGGAAGGAATGGAAGAACACATAAATATGATATTCACGTCCTCAAATCTGACATTCATGTCCTCGTGACCTTTCCTTTCAGATTAATGAAGAACTGGATCATCTTGCATCCGAGTTCAGCTTCGTGGAGAAGATCCAGATCGGGGAATCCTACGAGAAGCGGCCTCTGTACGTTCTGAAGGTACGACGGATATCGTGGAACGCATCCACAGGGACGAAGGACGGAGCATTCCTAAAAGCCCCTGGCTATTATGGGATGTCCTTGGCTGAAGGGTGTTGAAATGCTCCTGTTTGATTTCCCAGTTCAGCACCGGAGGCTCCAAGCGCCCGGCCATCTGGCTCGACGCCGGCATCCATTCCCGCGAGTGGGTCACCCAGGCCAGCGCCCTGTGGATCGCCAACAAGGTTCCTGCGGCAGGGATTCATCCTTGGCTTCTCCAGGGAATGATTCCTGGTGTTTCTGAGGGTGTCAGCCCTCTGTGGGTTCTGTTAATTCCCAAAAGCAGCTGGGGTTTCCTTGAGGAGGAAACTGGAAAATTCTGTCTTGTTAGAAAAGCTGAGTTTAGGCAGACAAAATGTCGTGGTTCAGGTGAAATTGTTACACAAATAACCAAAGATGTTTTTTTGGAGATTTTTTTTTTTTTTGAGATTATTTTTGCTGCTTTGTTCTGCTCACCCTGAAAAATCCAGTGGGATTGGTTTCCTTCCCCAAAATGCCCAGACTTCCAGCTCTCTATAAATGAGGATTTAAATCCTGCTGGATTTAATTTATATATTAATATATTTATTTAAAGATATATTTATTATATTATATATTTATTTAAATATATATTAAATATATTATTATATATAATATATTCAATTATATATTATTTCTTAAATATGTTTAATATATAATATATTGAGATAAATATATTAAATAAATATAAAAAATAAATATACTAAACAAATATAAAAAAAATTATATTAAATAAATATAAAACCATCTTCACTGCTCACTCCACGTATAACAAGGAACAGTTACAGCCAGCAGAAAATGGATATTCCTTGTTTCCCTATCCCAAAATCCAGCCTTTCCTCTGTCCCAAGCAATGAGGGAATGAATTTGGGAAGGAATGACTCTGCTAAGCTCTGTCTCTGCCTAGATTGCCTCTGACTACGGAACAGACGCTTCCATCACCTCCCTGCTGGACAAGATGGATCTTTTCCTGCTGCCAGTGGCCAACCCTGATGGATTTGTGTACACTCACACCTCGGTGGGTCTGCTCTGCCTGAGCTCAGTGACATTCCAGGCTTTTCCAAAGAAATAATCACCATGAGGGAGGTGGGCTCTGCAAGTCTTAATGCCATGAGAGGAGTTACCAGAGTTGGGTTAAAAAAAATCTCCTCATTAACCCATCCTAACCCCCTGTAAACACTCCAGTTTTAGTAAATACATTTGATTTTTAACCCTTGGCCCATCTTGGCAGTCCGAAATACTCTCAGGGTTGTTCCTAGGGTCAGTCCCTCATGGACAGCAGCTCCTTTTGGGGAGCAGTTTTGGTGCCAGCACCCAGATTTGCTCCTTTCTGAGCTCTTCTCTGTTGTAGAATCGCATGTGGAGGAAAACCCGCTCCAAGATTCCCGGCAGCATCTGCGTCGGAGTTGATCCCAACAGGAACTGGGATGCAGGTTTTGGAGGTAGGGATGGAGCTTCTGGATTCTGGATCCTGTTACACAGAACCAGGATTATAAAGGGGATTAATCACCCTGAGCACAACATGAGGCAGCATCGTGGAATTACGGAATCGTGGAATCACAGAATGGTTTGGGTTGCAAGGACCTGAAATATTTAATTCCACTCCCTGCAGTGGGCAAATCCACCTTCCACTATCCCAGACAGTTCCAAGCCCCATTCAATCACTGAACATGAAATGGAGATCCCTGGGTTTTTGGGCAACCTCTTCTGGGTTGCACCATCTCAAAGTCCATCCCTTGAACACTCACAGCTCTGTCGCTGCTGTTTGAGCTTTTAGCAGCGTTTCAGGCCTGGCTTTAGGCTGTCCCTGGGAAAGCCCAGCTTTGTGGGCTCTGCCCTCCCAGGAATTCCACTCACAGGTTCGTTCCCTCCTTGCACCACCAGGTCCTGGAGCCAGTAACAAACCCTGCTCCGACTCCTACCACGGGCCCAGCGCCAACTCCGAGGTGGAAGTGAAATCTGTTGTCGACTTCATCAAGAATCATGGAAACTTCAAGGCCTTCCTGACCCTCCACAGTTATTCCCAGCTCCTGATGTATCCCTATGGATACAAATGCACCAGGCCAGACGATTATGCCGAGCTGGTGAGACAGAAGGACTTGGCTTTACCTTCTCTCTTCTCTCTTTCTCCTCTCTCTTCTTTCTCTTCTCTCTTTCCCTTCTCTTTCCCTTCTCTTCCTCCTTCTCTTCCTCTTCTCTTCCTCCTTCTTTTCCTCTTCTCTTCTTCTTCCTCTTCTCTTCCTCCTTCTCTTCCTCCTTCTCTTCCTCTTCCCTTCCTCTCCTCTTCCTCTTCCTTTCCTCTTCCCTTCCTCTCCTCTTCCTCTTCTCTTCCTCTCCTCTCCAGCTGCCTTTCCATCCTTTCCATGCTCTTCCCTAATGGCACCATCGCAGCTGCAATAACACCTCTCAGGCAATGAGGATCTCACAACCGTAATTCCAATGGGAAAGGCCTCTGGAATTCTCTGTCCTGTGCTGAAAGGGCTTTGGAGCCAGAGCCAATTTGTCTGAGTTTGGATTTACTGTTTCGATATTTCTAAAGAAGAATTCCACAGCTTTTTCAGGCTCATCCCAAAGTTTCCCTGATCTCAGTTCCCCTGTGGCAATTTGTTGCCTTTTTTCCCTCCTTCACAAAGAACCCAGCTCTGATTTCCATCCAACCCCCGTCACGTAGTTGAAGTGAGCACCGAGTTGACCTTGGAGTATTGGAAGATCCAAACTTGGGAATTTCTGGTGTCCCCTGAGCCTTCCCTTGACACTCCAGTGAAGGAAACACCGGATGAACCCTTAGAGAACCTTCTGGAAGTTAACTCACCTGCGGTGGCACCTCCCAGAAGTGCCGTGGAAGCTGTGACTGCCCTTGGTGTGAATCGTCCCCAAAGCAGTTTGGAGATTTCTGCGGAAATCCCAATGTTTAATCTCGGGAAGTGTGGCTGCTTCCTGACTTTCCCTTCATCTTCTCTCCCCTCCAGGAATCTCTGGGAAGAGCTGCCGCCAGTTCCATCCGCTCCCTCTACGGCACCACCTTCCAAGTGGGCACCATTTGCAAAACCATCTGTGAGTATTTGGCCACTCCGAGCTTTTAGGGGCTGTCCCAGGACACTGATCCCAGGTCTCCCCACAGGATCCCAGGACACTGATCCCAGGACACCCCACAGGATCCCCGTCCTCCCCATAGGGTCTGTCCCCCCACAGGATCCCAGAACACCCCACAGGATCCCAGGACACTGATCCCAGGACACTCCACAGGATCCCAGGACACCGATCCCAGGACTCCCCACAGGATCCCAGGACACCCCACAGGATCTGTGTCCTTCCCACAGGATCCCAGGACATGCCACAGGATCCCAGGACACCAATCCTTGCTCTTCCCACAGGATCCCAGGACACCGATCCCAGGACTCCCCACAGGCTCTGTCCCCCCACAGGATCCCAGGACACCCCACAGGATCCCTGTCCTCCCCACAGGATCCCAGGACACCCCACAGGATCCCAGGACACCGATCCCTGTCCTTCCCACAGGCTGTGTCCCCCCTGGAAACCACAAAGCTCCTGTGCAGCTTTGACCACCGGTCACACATCTCACCTGAGCGTTCCCACCCAAACCCCCTCCTTGTCCCCCAAAATACAAACAGCAGGAAAACAGAATTCCACCGTTCCTCTCCCTTTCCCTTCCAGACCAAGCCAGTGGAGGCAGCATTGACTGGAGCTACGACAACGGCATCAAATATTCCTTCGCCTTCGAGCTGCGGGACACGGGGCGCTACGGCTTCCTGCTGCCCGCCAACCAGATCATCCCCACGGCCAAGGAGACCTGGCTGGGCCTGAAGAAAATCATGGAGCACGTGCGGAATAAATCCGCCTGAGAGCGGGGCTGGGAGTCAGCTCTCTGCAGCTGCAGCTGATCGAATAAACCCCCTGTGCATTCCCCCCGTGGTGTTTGACGCGTGTCCTGTTCCTCGTGCGTGACGCGGCCCCCAGGGGATTTTGGGACACAAACCTCCCTGTCGTGGGCAGGGACACCTCCCAGGATGTTCCCAGCCCTGTCCAGCCTGGCCTTGGACATTTCCAGCTTCTCTGGGAATTCCAGCCCAGGCAGGAATTCCTTCCCCAGATCCCATCCATCCCTCTGGGAATGTGGGAAGCCATTCTCTGTGTCCTGTCCCTCCAGGCCTTGTCCCCAGTCCCTCTCCAGCTTTCCTGGAGCCCCTCCAGGCCCTGGAATGTGCTGGAAGCTCTCCCTGGATCCTTCCCTTCTCCAGGCTGAAGGGGCTGGTGCAGAGGGCCTGGTGTTAACCAGCATAATCCCATGGAACTAATTAAAGGAATTTAATTTCCCTTAACGAGCCTCAGGACCCTGCCAGGCCCCCGACCACTGTCCTCAAACGTACGCCGCCATCGATTTGGCTGCCCCTTTTCTGCCTCCCACACATTCCCAGTGGAGGTGGCTGCAGGGAAGATGGAGATGGGAGGACACCTCCCCTGATCCAGCGCCCAATCCCTCAGGAGCCCCTCGTTCCATTGCTCATCCTGCAAATTTCCTGGGGATTAAAGAGCTCAGGAGGCCCTGAAGGAGCGGAGATTAGCGCCGGCTGCTGCTGCTGCGGTGATTATCGAGTCTGACAGGTTTATCTCGGTGTCTTGTGACCCCCCAGCAGCTGGTGAGTTACTCACCCCCGAGAGCCTGGCAGGAGAGCAAACAGCACTGATGCGGCCGATAAAACCCTGCGGACTCGGAGCTGGTGCCAGGAAAAGAGGAAGGCGCAGCTGAGGCGGCGGGAAGTACCTGGGGGTTGGATTTGGGTTAAAAGCAGCTGTTTTGGAAAGCAAAGCCATGCTTGGGGCAGCCAGTGGGACCCACGTGTCCCCTCTGCTCATGGCCTTGTCCAGTGGCATCTGCTTCCCAAACTGACTCAGCTTTCCAAAATCCCATCCCCTGCCCGGTGATGAAAAACCAGGATTGGTAAATCCCAGGGACACGGCCGGCTCTTGGAGCTGGAGGAGCAGGAACTGAGGAGCCTGGGCTGGGAATGTGGCAATGTGACCTTGTGCTGGCCTGGAAGCTCATTCCAATCATCCAGGGCTTGAGGGCCGCTGTCCCCTCCTCTGGTGTGAGGAGAGCTCATCCAGGTCTGGATCCCTGACTCCAGAGGGGTCTGGAGTCAGAGCAGTGGGTGCCACAGAGGAACAGGAGGGTGCCATGGTGGGGCGAGGAGGGAGATGGGCTGGAGACGACACCGGTGTGGGGTGGGGACACCTAACAGGGACCTTCCCATCCCAAGGAAGGAGATGATTGAGGACACAGAGCCAAGCTCTTCACCACAGAGTGCTGGGAGAGACCACGGCATCAGCTGGAACGAGGGAGAGCCAGGGGGGACATCAGGAAATGCTTTCCACCAGGAGGAGAAGCAGCAGGACCTGGTGCCAGTGGGGCTGTGCAGCCTCCAGCTCCAGAGGACTCCAGGATCCAGCGATCCTGGTGGGTCCCTGGAGCTGACCATGCTTCATCCAGACACTGGATACAGACCTCCCGTGGTCCCTTCCCACCTCAACCACGCCACGATCCTGCCTGGAGGAGGATCCTGGAACCACCTCACCACCAGCACCGGTTCTGCACCGCAAGGCCCCAGCAGGGCCCGGCACCTCCCGCTCTCGGTGCAGCCAGAATCCCCTGGGTTTGATGGAGAAAAACGGGGACAGAGGATGTCGGCTGTAAAAAGCTGCCCTGGGAGGCGCTGCCAGCCTGGGAACGCAGCCCAGGAACCCGGAGCATCCCTGACAAGCACGGTGGGAGCTCAAGGGCAGCGCAGATAAGGCCCAACAAAGGCCCTGCTGTAACCTGCGGAACAAAGACACTGCTTTAACTGGGGAACAAAGACACCTCTGACAAACTGACCTCCTGACAGCTGCTCCAGAGCCGCTGCTCGCACTGAAAACAGAAAAATAATTCATTTTCTACCCAAAAATGAACCTTTCTGTCTGAGCAGTACCCCAGGTGAACGTCCCTGTGCACCTCCAAGCTCCACGACTCCCATCAGCTTTGAAGTGAGATTTCATCCGCCATCAAGTGACCCCCACTCCTGGGAATGGTTTGATGAATAATTTGAATATCTTTTATATTTTATATATCTTTATCTATAGACACACGTATGCATAAACTAATTAATCATAAGCAAGTCGACGTTTAAACGCTTGCTTTTTCCGCACGTAACTTTGTAGTAGCTTGTCATTACACGTGCGTTACTAATGGTAATTATGATCGACTTACTCATAGCAATGTGTCATGAAGAAATTCATGGAAACAAAGAGGAGTTTCCTGGTGGTTTTGGGGTTCCTGTGACCACGCCGTCCCCACCGTCCCACGCCCGTGGGTCGGGAGCCGCCCGTGCCCACGGCAGCTCCGAGCTGGGAGCACGGACACTCATCCAGGACCTGCTCACTGAGGAAGACGTTATCAGATCCTCCCTAATTTGGCTGCTCTCGTGTTGACTTTGCCAAATAAAACAAACATTTGGGCTCGCCGGAGCCCTTCCTGCCGGCTGTTTGTCACTGCCGACGCCGCGGGGACGGCGGATGCGGCCCCGGTGAGGAGATCCAGGAGGGAACCCGGACCACCAAGGGGGTTCTGCCCATCCTCTGGGCTGTGGCTCTGCTCCCACCCACCATGGAGACCCTCCTGGTGTTCCTCGCCCTCCTGGGGGGGACCAGCAGCGAGCAGCTCTTCGTGGGGTGAGTCCTGCCGGAGCAGGGGGCAGTGGGACACCACGGCTGGGATGGGGATCTGGGGAGAGAGGTGGATCCATCCCCACCCCTCTCCTTCGGGGTCAAACAGGAGGGTGACATCCCAAAGGATGGAAATTTGGGAAAATGGGGTTTTTTCCCAACTAGGAAAGATTTGGTTTCGCCACGGGTTTGGAGGGGGGGGGCAGCAGGAAGAAATTTGGGAATGCTGAACGCTGAGGGCATCGCTCCAAGCTTTGTCAAGGTGTAAAATCCCAGAGGATCAGGGGATGATGTGGATGGCTCAAACATGATGGCTGTGGAACCATCCAAGGATTGCTGGGAACAAAACCCAAGGATTGCTGGGAAAAAAACCACCAAAGATTGCTGGGAATAACAGCCAAGGATTTCTGGGAATAACAGACAAAGATTGCTGGGAATGACCAAGGATTTCTGGGAATAACCAAGGATTGCTGGGAATGACCAAGGATTTCTGGGAATAACCAAGGATTGCTGGGAATAACCAAGGATTTCTGGGAATAACACGCCGTGGGAAAGAACAAGATGTGGCTGGAGAAGGGGCCCTGTGGAGGGAGGCCAACACTTTCCCAGGACAAAGCTCCTGCTTGTAGCTCCTGGAGATAAGAACAGCACAGTCCAGTGCAGGAATGAGGTTGAGAAGGGGGAATGGAATGTGGGGGGTGGTCAGGACAACCCAAAACTCCCAAAGGCTCCAACTCATTTCCAGAAAGGTCTGAGCGGGTCCAGGGAGCGGCTGGGGCTGTGCCAGAGGGGCTCAGGTTTGGTATCAGGAAAGGTTCCTGATCCAGAGGGTGCTGGCACTGCCCAGGCTCTCCCAGGGAATGGTCACATTCCCAAGGCAGCCAGAGCTCCAGGAGGGTTCCTTTCCTTTCCTTTCCTTTCCTTTCCTTTCCTTTCCTTTCCTTTCCTTTCCTTTCCTTTCCTTTCCTTTCCTTTCCTTTCCTTTCCTTTCCTTTC